GGGGTAGTGGGGGTTGGGGGTGGTGTTGGGAATGTGTAGGTTGGGGGGACGGGGGTGTGTTTGGGGTCAAAGCGCGGTTTTTGGGGCCTTGAGGGGTGTGTTGGGGGATGTTAACGGGGGGTGAAATTCATTTTTTTTTTCCCCGGTTTGAGTGTTCGGGCACGTAGCCCAACGCGTGAATTCCGTTTTTCGGACTTCGATGCGACACCCCCGTTTTTGCGTTTAACGCGATTCAACGGGGGTCCTCGGGTCCGTTAAACGGGTGTTCGGGCGTTTAATTCGGCCCGTTCTCCGTTAAAAAGATACACAGCTGGCAGTCTAATCATTTTCATCTACGGTCGCCAAAGAAAAACTGCCGAATGTCTAGAAAATCTATGGATGACGGCGAGTTGTCGTAGTCATGTAGTCATTGAACGTTCTAATTAGCGATCCGAACGTCAGATATTGTGGTTCCTCGGCGGAAGCGCCATCCGCAAACACTGAAATATATTTCATGCGGACGAAGCCGGACCTGCCGACCAGAGAACTGCCTAAAGCATCCCATATAGATGATACTTTTGTTTCAACCTTGCACCATGCATCGACATCGTCCACCTTACCGCCGATCACTACATCCCATTTCCTTTCGACTTTTCGTTGAACTAAAATCATCCCTCTTCTAGTCATTTCCAACTCATTCTTGGACACGTACACCACAACGTCAGTCAAGGTCCTATTCCCGTTTGAACACGCAACGCAAAGGACCCTGCATAAGACGAATGTTGCCAGACGCAATCTGATGCATAAGTACGACACAGCTTGTGGCGATAGCCCAGGAGATCGCAAAGGATACTGATCCAGGAACTCAGAATGTCAGACACAGTCAAGCAACTCCTGTTTCATCGCACGACACCATGTGCGCAGCGAGGTAGTCACATATTGACAGTCCAACAGACTGTAATAGCGATCAGATTTCAACTTTTTACACAAGTGATGCAATCGCACTGGACCGAGGACATTACGGGGCAAGGGAATAAAACTTCCCTACTCAAGCATATTAGCGAACTTATAGTCCTCTGCCCATGGGCATTGGGCACTCCCTGACCATTTTCTCCCACCGAGGCTCTCTCCAAGGAGTCCAGGTGATCATTGATGTACGGGATGACCGTCATCCACGAATCGGACTCGAAGTCCCTTGTACTCGCACCATCGATCTCAGTGGACTTTCGAGATCCGCGGACGCGCAGCACGCAAGGAGGGAAAGGGTGTGCCAAGCGTTCGTGCCAAATAGCAGGGGTCATTCAGTGTGAGATGTCCATCAGGACTCCAAAGCGCCCTGCACACCACAATGACATGAATTAGGAAAAGCACACGGCCCATGCGACAACGAACATAACGATGCTCCCAAAGAACGGTCATGTCGAGCACGACGATGCTCCCAAAGGACGGTCGTCGACAACCCCCTCACGGGCGATCGTGTTCGATACAACGATGACATACCTTACAAACAGTCGGAGTGCATGAGGGACAGTCATCGTGTTGAACACGACAAACACCCCACTGCAGCAGAGACATAGTGACATGTCGTGTCGAACAGATGACCCCCGGAAGGTTGAAACCAAACGAAAACAAGTGGCCCATTTCCACAACACATCCGGTGCCCCGAATCCTCACATGCCAACGAGCTGCACATGCGAACGAGAGTTCGTCTACCGCATCCCCCCTACGTCTGCAAGAAATCCATAACTCAAAAGCACATGAAACACTCACTGTAATCAGGACTGTTGTTCCCTTCCTTGCTCCGGCCAATGGCAATATAACACCCACCCATGACCGACAGACCAAGTGTTGATCCCGACACACACGACCGTTGAAGCAACCCTTGCCTCAGTGGTGTGCAAACCTAACCCTGTGAAAAAAGGGCACCATCGTGTCGAACACGACAGCCTGTCGAAGGACAATCGTGTTCGACATGACGACGTCCGTTAAAAGAAGGTCGGAGTGCCCGATGGAGGTCGCCGTGCTGAACAAGACAACCGCCCAAAGGTTCTTCAACAAACACCCCCACAACAGCAGCCATTGCGTCGGTTCTGTGCGGACTTTGCCTTATGCGTGGTAGGGCACCATCGTGTCGAACACGACAACCTCCCGAAGGGCGACCGTGTTCGACACGACGACGTTCATTGAAAAAGGTCGGAGTGCCCAATGGACGGTCTCCCCTCCACAAGCCCGGATTGCCCGAGGGATAGTCGTCGTGTTCAACACGACAACCACCGAAAGCTTGATCGTGTTCGGCGTGACGACGACATCCCTTGCACAAGGCCGGAGTGCCCGAGGGAAGGTCATCGCCAGAGACACGGGGACCCCTCGTGTCGAAAACGATGAAGCATCCTCTACACAACCGATATGTCATTAGCGACTTGGTAGTGAGCGGAAATGGGTCGCTTGTTTTGGCGGTGGCTGTCGTGTTCAACACGACGACCGACCCTAAAACTCTTATTCCCAGGGCGAGCTATAGATAGATCATTGTGTCGAACACAACAACCACAACAGCTTCGTGTTACACATCCCTTGCATGAGACGCCGACATTAGACGATCATCCGGCAATGCCTCATTCCAGGAGCCGTGCTAGCTAGCCGGGGGCATGAGACGTTGACGGACGGTCATCGTGTTGAACACGACAACTGTGGGCATGACATATTGATGGACGGTCGTCGTGTTGGAAAGGACAACCACCACCAACATAGCAGCGACACAACATTGCCTTCGTGTTATGTAGACCTTGCCCAAGGCTGCACAACACTCAGGCCTCGTTCTAGGTCACCGTGGGCAAGAGACATTGACAGTGGTTGTCGTGTCGACCATGGGAATGTGAGACATTGACGGACGGTCATCATGTCCAACACGACAACCAACGCGCGTGCAGCAGATAAGCCCTTGCCCAAGGCTACACAACACTCATGCGGGGTGCTAGCTAACCATGGGCATGAGACGTTTACGGGCGGTCGTCGTGTTCAACACGACAACCACCGACAGTGCAGCCCTTACCTATGGCTACACAACACTCACGTGGGGTGCTAGCTAGCCGTGGGCATGGGACGTTTACGGGCGGTCGTCGTGTTCAACATGACAACCACCTCCAGTGCAGCGCTTGCCCACGGCTACACAACACTCAAGCGGGGTGCTAGCTAGCCGTGGGCATGAGACGTTTACGGGTGGTCGTCGTGTTCAACACGACAACCACCACCAGTGCAGCCCTTGCCCATGACTACACAACACTCACGCGGGGTGTTAGCTAGTCGTGGGCATGAGACGTTTACGGGCGGTCGTCGTGTTCAACACGATAACCACCGCTAGTGCAGCCCTTGCCCACGACTACGCAACACTCACGCGGGGTACTAGCTAGTCGTGGGTATGATACGTTTACGGGTGGTCATCGTGTTAAACACGAAAACCACCGCTAGTGCAGCAGATGCAGAGCCCTACCTTGCGAAGTACACGACGACGCTGTCAGGGGATGGTCGTGTTCGACACGACGACGGGGACATTGTCAGGTGCAATGCGACTCCGGAAAGATAGTTACTGATGCGTTTGTCATGTTCGATACGACAACTGCAAAGCCGAAATTGCCACGTGGCGCTTCATGGTTTTAAATCGGGGATCGGGGAAAATCCTCACCGTTTGTCCGTTGTCCTTCTAACTTTGCTCGCCTCGTAGAACGGTGCCGACTCTCTCTTCCACTCCGAGATCCGCTCCGAAGGTGCTCCTCGCCTTGGAACAACGCCCAGATAGCTCGGCGCCGTCGTGACCCCACTCGCTCTTTTCTCTTATCTTTCGCTCCGAAGATCCACTCCAACCGTGTTCCTCGCCTTGGAACAGCGCCACCGTCTGGCCCCACTCGCTCTCTTTTGCCATGCGACAAGAGAGTGAGAGCAAAAATGGAAAATGGAGAAGAAGACCCACTCCTGTTTATATACTGTGCAGCTTGTCCCCTCCCGCGAACCAACGACCGTCCAATCGAGTCGAACCGATGGTGGTGATGGCATTGTGCCAGATAGCGGGGACAAGCGGGTGTTTTTCGCTGGCCTGCCTTCG